TTAAATGATAAATAATCCCACTCCAGCAAAAATGTAAAAAAAATATTGGAGTACATTTTAAAAGTTAAATATAAATAAATACATAAATAAACAAATACTTTATTTCACATTTAATTCATTGTGTTACTAGCCATTTCTTTGTAATTAATTATGAAATGCACTAACAATTTCTGAGTGAAAACTGTTTCTATAACATTTTTTCAGTGTGTGTGTGTGTGTGTGTATATATATAATAAAAATATTTAATAATTTTTTTTTAGATATTTCGAAAATTTAGAATTAAATTTTAGAATTTTTTTTAATATTATATATTTTTAAATCGGACCTGACAATGAAGAAAAAACACATTGAGAATACGTTTATAAAGCATCTCAGGGGTTGAAGAAGCTTCTCTATGTAATGCCAATACTCCTGTTTGTTTAATTTCATTATCATTTTGAAAATAGAAAATAATAAAAAATATTATTAATAATGAGTATATAATGAGAATAATGTGTCCAAACATTTGACTGGTCCTGTATATAATAAATGTACAAATATCTCGGTGTTAATGCTAAACGAGATGCTTATATGATGCAAAGATGCTCACTGAGCGAATGAGCTCTTAAGAATAAAGAAGAAAAATTCATTTTCGGATGTGAATTTTGATGAAATATTGCAAGTTAATGTGAAAAATAATTCTGTCGTACAACATGCCATACTTTGTCTTCTGCAACATTTCTACTGTCACAATATTTGTCTTGTGTGAGATCAATTTCAATTCAAAAAGTCTTTTTTTATTATTATTTTTACTTTCTAGCATGACTTACTTTATACAAATATCTAGCAGCATAACCGTCCTGCTCTATTAATTTTCCATTCATTCTTAAATTAACTTATTCAATTAGAACTTATTTATTAAAGTTCATAAATTATATTTTAAGAATTATTTAAAAATGATGCAAACTTTTATATGCGTGCATACTTCTGTACTAGGTACAGTACTTTGAGTTTCTTTACCATTGTGTATGAAATGAATAGCAGCATCTTTCTTTTATAGGTGAGCCAAAGCGGCCTTTACTTTGAGAGTTGTGCGCTTGATATATTGGCTCTCAGAAGCAATCGGAGGTGAAGTGGGGAAACACTGCTTTCATTCTGCATCAAACTGATGGAGGGAGTGTGAAAAGTCATAAGACTGAGAGCAAGACTCACCGATTTTGCCCGAACATCATATCCACACTGTGTGTTGATAACATCCTCCTGCAAAACATTGAATGTCACTGATGTGTAATTAATGGAAGAAAATGGTAACATTTCAACTTGAAGGAAGTATGTTGACAGTCAGAAGAATTCCAGTGTGGGGAAGACTGGAAATAGCAAAGTTAGTTAGTCATTTTTCCTCCAAGTCTTCCTCCTTACAAACTAGTAACAGCATGTGCCTGTCATACTTTGAATCTTCATGACTTATAAATACTTGTTGTTCCTGTCTGCAATTCAGTTCTGAAAATCTTGTTGCTCTTTTCTTTTGTCCATGTGGTTTTAATACATTCCATTCGAACATTCCAGAAATTAATAAACTCTTTATTTACTCCTTAAAGTATTTAAACAGTTATAAACTTAAATGACTATTTCGTTCTGCTTTTCTAATTCTAACTTACAGTGACTGAAAATGCATTTTCCCTCACACTGAAATGATGAATCGCTGCATTCAGAGAAGAGCTCATAATCGAATCATCTAATGTCTATGATGTTTATTTGTTAGGAGTTAATAGCTCATAACAGGCTATTATTTCAGTCCTCTTTGCTGTAGATGTTGTGCTTCCAGTGCTTGTTTATTGTCTGTGAAATGCTATTTTTACTCCGTTCACGTAGACCAAATCCTGTTTAATAGTCCCCTTTTGTTTCACTCTTTGTCATGTATTGTTTGCACTTTCCCCCCTCATGCTTTTAGTCTCTCTTAAACCATGAAGACAGTGGCATACAAATTGTGCTTAGGAAAGAACAGGATTAACATTTGCGGAGCAAGATGACGAGTGCTGTATCTCTGTAGCGAAATTTTCAAAGAAAGCCTCAGTTGCATCACATTCAAATAAAAATGGAATTAGTTAAAAGAATAAGTTCACCCAAAAATGAAAATGTACTCACTTTGCTCACCAGTGGATGCTCTGCAGTGAATGGGTGCCGTCAGAAGAAGTTCACGACTTCGCCTTTTAGGGGAAGTCGTGGCCTAATGGTTAGAGAGTCGGACTCATAACCCAAAGTTTGTGGGTTCGAGTCTCGTACCGGCAGGAATTGTAGGTGGGGGGAGTGAATGTACAGTGCTCTCTCCCACCTTCAATACCACGACTGAGGTGCCCTTGAGCAAGGCACCGAACCCCCAACTGCTCCCCGGGCGCCGCAGCATAAATGGCTGCCCACTGCTCTGGGTGTGTGTTCACGGTTTGTGTGTGTTCACTGCTGTGTGTGTGCACTTTGGATGGGTAAATGCAGAGCACTAATTCTGAGTATGGGTCACCATACTTGGCCACATGTCACTTTCACTTCACTTAACTTGTCGTGATAGGCTAAAAAGAAAAAAAGAAAGAATGAGAGTCCAAACAGCTGATAAAAACATCACAGTAATCCACACCACTCCAATCCATCAGTTAACATCTTGTGAAGTGAAAAGCTGCATGTTTGTAAGAAACAAACACATCATTAAGATGTTTTTTATATTAAAACCGTTGCTTTCAGCTAAAATACTCTGGAGTCCTCTATCCATAATATTGCTTTCTCCAGTGAAAAAGTAGCCTCTTCTGAATCAGGAGGGAAATATGCACAGATCAAGCACTGTTTACAAGCCAAAACAGTCTAAAGCACTTCTAAACACCTGTCCATAAATTAACGCCTTGTGAAGTGAAAAACTGTGTGCAGGAAGAAAAAAATATATATATTTTTTTGAAGGCATTGCTTCTGGCCAAAATATGAGTTCATAATCCATAACAACACTTCTCCAGTGAAAAAGTCCATCCCCTGTTGTCCTCTCACTTCAAAGTATACCCACATATTTGTTTACCACTCTGCATATTTCTCTCCTGATTCAGGCGAGACAACTTTTTCATTGGAAAAAGCTATATTTTAGATCAAGGTATTTTAGCTGGAAGCAACGGTTTGAAGTTAAAAACATCTTAATGGTGGATTTGTTTCTTGGTGTGGTGTGGATTATTGTGATGTTTTTAATCAGCTGTTTGGACTCTCGTTCTGACGGCACCCATTCACTGCAGAGCATCCACTAGTGAGCAAATGATGTAATGCTACATTTCTCCAAATCTGATGAAGAAACAAACTCATCTTGGATGACCTGAGGATAAGTACATTTTCAGCAAATTTACATTTGTGTGTGAACTATCCCTTGAAACATCACACAAGAGTTTCTATACACTTTCAGTCCGTTGCCATACAAATTCATCTCTTACCGCTGGGTCTTTGGTGCAACAGGAGAAGGGCACGCCACATTTTTCACGGCTGGGGTTGCTGTCTGTGCAGTTGAAGTAAACGTTGAGGTTCCAGTCATCTGCTCCAAACGCCCCACAGCATTCCCACTGAAGAAACACAAATAATGTGCATGCAATTACATTTCTTGAGTTTTGGAATGCACTTTCATCTAGAGACACATCTCTAATAGGAAGTACAGAGAAAGCATTGAGTGCATTAGACTGTATCTGTTTAATATACATCAACGTCACAGATGTGGCATAAGGCAGCTGCTCCTGAAAGAAAGCAAGCCACGATCCCCCATGTGCTCCCATTACACTAATATCTGATGTTGACATGCAGTGCTTTGCTGTGCCTTTTTTATCATGCAAGGTCAGAAAGGAAATAACATGACAGCATCTGCCTGACTCTGATATCTAATTAAATCTGTCCTGAGGAAAGGCATCTGCTGGAAAGAGATCTGCAGTACAGAGCATAAAGCTGGAAAACACACACAGCTGCAGTGCAGAGTGGGACTGTAGTAGGGTTTTGCTCAGGAAACAATGTCTTCTGTGTGCAAAGTGTGAACTTCTGCTCATATCATCAACAGTTGTCCCTGAACAAACTCCTAATTTGCTGCTTATTAATAGTTTGTAAGGAAGTTACTAAGTTAAACTTAACTTTAGGAATGGGGTGGATTTAGGGATCTAAAATATGATTATGCCGAATAAGGCATTAATATGTGCTTTATAAGTACTAATAAACAGTCAAGATGCTAGTAATACGCATGCTAATAAGCAACTAGTTAATAGTGAGAATTGGTCCTTAAAATAAAGTGTTAACATGTTCATTTATATTGATTAGAAATATAGAATATGTTGAATAAATGAAAAAAAAAAAAATAGAATAAAATATGAAAATACAGAATATGAATTCTATGTTTGAATCCTAATGTAAGTGAGTAACATCGTACCTTTTTTCCACAAGAAATGCGTTTGAACAGTAAAAAATTGTATGTGAAACAAACCGCAGGAATATTGACTAAAATAATGAGCAATGATATGTTTGCACTTTTAACCTTGCAACATTCAAATCCAAAACATTTCAAATGTAAATATTTTCAATTATAATATATGTTATTAAAAGGCATGCCAAATCTAATTGACATTACTTATTATTTTTTCAGACATAGTTATGATAAATAATTATAGGTACTTCGCAACACTGTAACCAGCTCTGTCAGAAATTAATTGGAACTTGGGGCAAAATGTCATCAAAATTAATAAAATTTAATATATGAGGGCAAAAATGGCCCCTTATGAGTTCTTGTTTTTTATATTTACAACATATGAAAATTTAAAGCAATATCACTCATTAAGAAGTTAATATTAAGTGAGTTTAGTAATAGTATTGACAATATCGTCTGTTTTTGCTCTATTTCGCCAACAAAATTAATTCCAAGTTCCAATTCCGCAGTAGAACACAGCAGTAATTTCTGAAAGATGAATCTGTGTTTCTGAACGAATCAGTCTAATGAACGATTCAATGACTCACTCATAAAGACTAATGGTGCGTTCACGCCAAACGCGAATTTAATTATTCGCGCGAGTAGATTACATACAAAGTCAATGCAAAGACGCAAATAGAGGCGAATTCGCGCCAGGCGACGCGAAATGCACGACGCGTTTGCCGCGACCGCGAGATATTCGCCTCAATCGCGTCTTTCGCGCAAGTTCAAAAATTTCAACTCGAGCGGAAAATTCGCCTAACGCGTTCTCGCGCAAGCCAATCAGCGAAGAGCTTATTGGCACGTCTGGTTGAATCAGACAATAGAAGATAGCATTATTGCAGCCGTCTGTTATTATATAGGTCTGGAGCATAGAAAACAATTAAAATCAGTTGTAGTGGTAGTTGTATTTTATTAGCATGGCTACAGAGATGCTGCTATCAATAATAAAAATAATAGTAATATCAGTGTATATATACAGTAGTAAACTGTAACGCACACATTAATACAGGATCCTAACGTTATTCATCCTCCTCTGGATGGTGCTGTGAACCCAGACACGTCGGCGTTTGGCTTTCCATTGTATTTGGGACTTTTTGACAACAGGTACAAAACAGCGATTGTAGTTATCTCCAGCATGGTTGATCGCGCTGTTTTTATTCGCGCGAGTGACACGAAAAACCCCCCGCGAGTAATCTAGAGCGAGTGGCGCGATGCGCATATTCGCTTCGCGTCTGGTGTGAACGCACCATAAGTCACTTGCTTCATTCCTGAATGAATCAGAATTAATTATTCAACGACTCTCTCATATACAGACTTGCTGCCACCTACTGGTTTTAATTTCATATTTAAAAGTATCTTTTTTTTTTTTACATTTCAAATTTCTGTATTCAAAATATTATATATAAAACATTAATCGCATAGCATTATGCGAATATAATTGCAGTGCAAATGCATTTGTGCCAACTCGGAGCTGCATTAAACCTTCTGTATAAATTCAATGCCACTTCAGATGCAGCTTCTGTGCCACCTCTCCAGTGCAAAGATGGATTTTGTTGATACTGATTTCAATTAATTGGTAACAGCATTTCAATAAAGCAATAAGTCCCAAGATGCCGTGGTTTACAGTGAATTTATAACAGCTAAGGGGCATGGTTAGTTACGACGAGAAGCGGAGTTAGCTGTTATAAATTCACTGTAAACCACGGCTTCAGGGGGCTTATTGCTTTTATAAAATGGTTATTCCATATACATAGTTAGGTTTCACAAAATAAAACAGAGCAAATATAGTGTAATGATATTAATAAAAACGTTATTCTTCCGCCAAACAATGTAGTTCCTCAGAATGGGTTGTGGTTGCAACAAAGTGGTTACCAAGCAGCACACAAATGTAAACAAAGGTGTGTGTTTGTAGAGTAATTTACAACAGCTTCGAACCAGGCTCAGCCAATCAGAATCAAGAACTCTCAGTTTTATAGATTCACTTAAATGTAATCAATACATTCAATTAGAATAATAAAGCACCATATGTATCTATAAAGTGTCTCTAGATATATTTGATGACCACTAATCTGACTATTGGGGTCGTCTTGTAGTGTTCTCCCAATGTCTATGGTGGTTTTGGACTTAATACTTCGAGTCTGAGGTGAAGAAAAAAAAAAAAGATTGCTAAAGTGCAATAGTGACATTTTCAAATGAAATACTTTTCAGACAAAAAACAACAACTTTCCCAAATGGCACTATTTCCTGAGAATGGCCCAGTAACCTTCTAAATGTCAACACATTTTAGCCTCGAAATGAACCAAATTCAGAGCAGTTTGACATCTTACTATTCAAAGAAATGAAGAAAGTAACTGATGATAGAACGTTCATTTTTGGGTGAATTATCCCTTTTAAGAGGTTATTTAACCCACAAGTCTAGGAAATTATATATAAAAATAAAGTTCAGACCAACCTAGTATGTAATATTACACTCGGATATGGAAATGTAAAAACAAATAGTTGTCCATGATTATGAAAAGACTGAAAATGTCATGCTGTTTGGGCATGTGACCAAAAGCTCAAATCTTATTGGTTGACCAGTGTTTTTCGCAGCGCAATGGAAAAGAAATCCAAACACCTCTCGGTCTCAGTGACGGATGTTCATTCAAATTGAAATGTTTTTGCTCCGAATTTTTGTCTTGGTGTGAACAGGCCTTAATTCTCAGTGGATGTTGAAGGTGTTTTTGGTCTCAGGTACATTTTGGGTTTTTCTTTAGTGTGTCAGTAAACAGGAATGCAACTCTTATCTGCAGCCCTTACCAAATGAGCCCAGATTACTATTCTCCAAAGTACACAGTAATGTTTCCATCTCAAAACACCCTTCCCAGTGAGCCAATGCTGAACATTAGAAATAAAAAGACAGCAAGCATTTTATCAGATCCCCTCAGCCTGGCCGAACATTAGGTCATGACTAATAATAACCATTGTGCCAACCTCCATATCTCACTCTTAGTCTTAAGGTCTTGTTTTTAACTTCAACAGCTTCTCATGTTACACTCTCTGACACAGTTTCTGCAATCTGCTCTTAAATGGTGGAATCCGAGCAGACATCTGGTTCGTCCCATGAGACGTACAGTATGTCCTCATTGTGTCCATAGGGCTGTGATTCTGCTAGCCTTTCAGAACTGGAGAACATTGGCTTTATTTGTACCTTATTTCTTCATATACTCCGTTTATTATTTTTTTTGCTAAACATTAAATACACAAATATGCACTGTGTTCACATTAACGGTAATGCTTACAAATATAAAGAAAAGTACCTGAGGTGAGATTTGACATTTATTCCTCTAGATACAACAGTACTATTGGCAGATTTTGTATTGCTGAAATTAAAATGACATTAAAGGCCAGATTAAAGGAATAGTTCGCTCAAAAATGAAAATTTGCTGAAAATGTCCTCACTATCAGGGCCATCCAAGATGTTTGACCCCAGCTGTTGGGCTGGTTTGACCCCAGCTGTTGGGTTGGTTTGACCCCAGCTGTTGGGTTGTTTTGACCCCAGCTATTGGGTTGTTTTGACCCAGCTGTTGGGTTGTTTTGACCCCCAGCTATTGGGTTGTTTTGACCTTTAAAAAAGGTAATTTTTTTAATCTCACAATTCTGTCTTTTTTTTCTCAGAATAGGGTATATGTCAAACATCACCTGACCAAACCCAGAAAACAGGTCTCATTGCTTCCGCTTGTCGGAGAACGTGTTAACAGCCGTATTAAATAATAGCGATATCTATGGACTTTTAAGATAATTAGTTAAACTAGCTAGCTGTTTTATTGTTGACGTTTTGTTCCATTTTTATATCTAAATGTGAAAAGTGAAAAACATTTAGATATCAGTCCGCATATGTGATGGACATTGGTTATGATCATCATTGGTATCTACTTTGAAGGCATCTTGAGTAAAACTGCTTCATATTTAACTAAGCATATGCAAAACGCTTGAACCGGAAGTGACAAGACCCGGTTAACAGAATACGGAAGTCTGTTGCGCATAACCCCTATTGCGTGATATAAACTCACAATTGCGAGCTATAAAGTCTTTGACTTATGACTTTTTTTTCTCGCAATTCTGAGAATGAGCATTTCCTTAAACATTTTCCATT